TCGGCGACGTCGCACGCCCCCCCCCCACTCCCCGTCACACCGCTCTCCCCCCCGCCTCCCCCTGACAAAGCAGCCCAGCACATCGCAGCCCTCGCGCCCCCCTCCTCAGCCCCCCCTCCCCAGCAGCCCAGTGCTTTCCGGCGGCGTCGCACATTATTTTGCATAGGGTGTTTAGAGCTCCGACCACTTGATCCCGCGTCGCGTCGCGCCCCCTTCCCGCGCCCGTTCCTGGCCTCCCCGGCGTTCCCCAGCGGCCTAGTGGAACCGCCGCCCAGCGCCCCCTCTGCCTCGATTACTTTATTTTGCGGCGCGTTCCCCCCCCCCCCTCCCTGCCACCCCCCCTCCCCCTGGCGTTCCCCAGTTGCCCAGTGGAACTTCCGCCTAATGCCCCCGCCGCCACGACCACTTTATCTTGCGTCGCGTCGCGCTCCCTCTGCCGCGGCCCCCCGCGACCCAGTGGAACCGCCGCCCACTGCTCCCTCCGCCCCGACCGCTCTATCCCGCGTCGCATCGCCCCCCCCGCCCCCGCCCCCCCCGCCCCCGCCCCCCTTGCCGCGGCGTTCCCCAGCGGCCCAATGGAATCTCCGCCCAGCGCCCGCCCCCCCCCCGCCCCCATCATTTTATTCAGCATCGCATCGCGCTCCCTGCCCCCGCCCCCCCGCCTCCCAAGCGTTCCCCGGAGGCTAAGTGCCGCCTTCCGCCCGACCACTGCATTCCGCGCCGCGTCGCGCACCCCTCCCCGCTCCCGCCACCTCCGCGCAGACGTTCCCCAGCGGCCCAGCGCCCCCTCCGCCCCGGCTTCTTTGTTCCGCGTCGCGTCGCACCCCCCTCCCCAGCGTTCGCCCTAGTCGCAATGGAATTCTAGACGCTTCGCGCATCCCCGCCAGCTGACGCTCTGCGCCTCGCGTGCTTCCCCTCCGACGATGCTGCCCTGCAGCAGGGACATAGCGTTCCCCAGCAATGATCAGGCGCTCTGTTCCCCCCGCGACCGAGGTCCCACCGCATCGCGCGGTGGAGATCACAGTGGCCAAGGTCTCGCAGTATTAGCAATGGCGTCGCCTCCCCCTCCTCCTTTCATTCACCGGATTTTGCGGCTATCGGCTGCGTCTCCTCCTCTCCTCCCTCCTGTGGATTCGGCCAGGCGATTTCCCCCCTGCCGAAGCTCTTGGAGCACTCGGGTCCATGTGCCACATGGAGGCTCTCTCGCAGAGCTCCGAGGTGAGGTCTGGCCGCGCTGCTGCCAGGTGTTGTTCTGGCACCTCGGGCCTCTGCCTGCCCCGGCACCACCGGGGGCCGGACCTGGGGCACCTCCTCCTCCTCCTCCTCCTCCTCCTCCTCCTCCTCCTCCTCTCTCCCTCCCACCCTCCCTCCCTCCCTTCCTCCCTGCTCCTCCTCCTCCTCCTGCTGCTTCTCCTCCTCCTCCTCCTCCTCCACCTCCTCTTCCTCCTCCTTCCTCCTCCTCCTCCCTCCCTCCTCCTCCTCCTCCTCCTCCTCCTCCTTCCTCCTCCTCCTCCTCCCTCTCTCCTCTCCTCCTCCTCCCTCCTCCCCCCCCTCCTTCCCGTCACTCCTCCTTCTTCTCCTCCTGTTCCTCCCCGTCACCTCCTCCTCCTCCTCCTGCTCCTCCGTCTCCTCCTCCCGCATCACACCCTCACATTCATCTTCATCCTCGTCCTCTTTCTCCTGCTCCTCCTCCTCATCATCCTCCTTCTCATAAATTCCTCCTCCTCCTCCTCCTCCTCCTCGTCCTCCTTTCCCAACCCTCGCCCTGCGGGGAAGACCCATCTACGAACAGCTCAACGTACAGCTCCATCTTCTACTGCACCTGCTCCTCCTCCTCCTCCTCCAAAGTGTTTCCTCCTCCTGTTGCTCCTTCTCACCCGACGATTCCACCTCCTCCTCCTCCTCCTCCTCCTCCTCCTCCTCCTGATCCTCATCCTCCTCATCCTCCTCCTCCTACTCCCTCTCCTGCTCATCGCCCCCTCCCCGTCCTGCGCCTCCTCCTCCTCCTCCTCCTCGCCGTCGATCCTCGAGGATCGAGGCCTCCGGACGCCTCCTTGGCTCTCCATGGAGACATCCGGGGATCTCCAAGACCAGGAGAAGGGGGGCCATCCTCCCTTCCTTCTCCTCCTGCACCCGTATCCCCCTCCATCCTCACTATCCGCCCTCATCCCTCCTCATCCTCCTGCACTGCCTCACCTCCAAGCCCGTGGCTGCCCAACGGTTCCCCTCACACCACTAATCCATCGAACCATCTGCATCATCGACCGGGATGAATCCTCAGCCGTGACAAAGGGGGTCGCCAATTGGGGTGCACGGGCCGAGCCGATCGGCGCCGCGCGCAACAATCGGGCGCGCAACATCGATCCGATTGACACGAGGACAGCCCGGCAGTTCCCGGCCATGGGAAGCCGCGAGTCACACCCTGCGATGGCTGCTGGCCCTACCAGGAGGACACCAAACAGCTGCACCAGCTTCAGTCCTCGGAGGTACGCGCGAATTCCTTGGGTCGGCGCTGGACCTTCCTGCCCTGGCGCACGGAGCACGCCAGGGGCCTGCCACCGACCCAAGAAATCTGCGAGGGCATCCAAAACTTTGCGTTCACGCTCGCGCCACCTCGTCCTCGTCTGCATGCTGCTGCCACTGCCGCAGCTGCTCCCTCCTGCTGCCTATGTTCCTGCTCCTGGTCAACCTTCCCCTACACCTCGCAATCCGCTCCTCTTCCCTCCTCCTCCTCGTCGTCGTCATCCTCCTCCTCATCCTCATCCACCTCCTCCTCCCCCATCATCCTACTCCTCTCCCACCTCTCGCCGCCACCTCCTTCACCTTACCTTCTCCCCCGCTGATCTTCCCACGCCATCGCGATCCTCCTCTGCCCGCCTCCCGTTCATGCTCCTGCTGTGATGCTGGTGCTCCTCATGACTATCTATTCCTCGCCAACCTCGTCATGCACCAGCTAATTAGCGTGCCGATCCTGCAACTACTTGCCATCAATGATAGCAGCGTTACACTCATTGCAATTACCGTTCATCTAATCGTCAGGCTCGTCCTTCTGTTCACCCTTCTCCTCCTCATTGTAATGATCATCTCAGTCCTCATCCTGCTCATCAGTGCCACGATCATAAGCATGATCATCATCAGCAGCATCATCAGCAGCATCATCATGATCATCATCACCATCACAATCATCATCATCAGCATCATCAGCAGCAGCAGCAACATCATCGCCATAATCAGCATCAACATCATCATCAGCATCATCAACATCATTATCAGCACCATCATCATCATCATCATCATCATCATCATCATCATCATCATCATCATCATCATCATCATCATCATCATCATCATCATCATCATCATCATCATCATCATCATCATCCGCATCATCATCAGCATCATGAGCAACATCATCATCATCATCATCATCATCATCATCATCATCATCGTCGAAGGTCATGTTCCTCTCCCTCTCCTCCTCCTCCTCCAAATCCTCCTCCTCATCATCGTCATCCTTCTCCTCCGCCGCCTACTGCTAAGCCTCACCCTTATCACTCCCCATCGCTCTTCATCCATCCTTCCACCTCCTTCCCCACCTTCTCATCCCCAACCAACATTTTCATCCCACGCCCGTCACCGAATCCTCCTCCTCCTCCTCCTCCTCCTCCTCCTCCTCCTCCTCCTCCTCCTCCTCCTCCCCTCGCCCCTCCCGAGGGGACGTCAACTGACCACCTCACCGATCCGGGCCGGGCCCATCCAGGGCCCAGGATCGCAGCAGGCGCCCTCCAGGCTGTCCCGGCAGACGCCTGTAGCACGCATCGAACCTATAGGCTCATGCCAGCCCAGCCTGGCATCCTGAATCGTCCCGTTGACGGCCCCAGGGCCAGGGAGAGAAGGGCCTCGAGGTGCCGGAGAAACGACGCAAGGCTGGCCGTCGAGACTGCGCCACCAAGGTCTGACGGGGTTGACGTTCCGTCCCCTGGCGCGGAGGTGATGTGGGACGGTAAGGGGGGACCATTTGTTTCGTCGGCGGCGAGGCAGAGGCAGTCCGCACCAGCGCGGGGCTAATCCAGGCATCCGATAGGCAAATTGTCCGGCGTACAAGAGGACGAAGGCGGCCGCGCGAGGGAAGGGAGGGGGACGGCGCTCGGACGCGGAAGAGTTCCGCGATGAGCGGGCCGGAGCGGCGATGCATCGCCGACAGACTGGCGATGGGCTCTTGATAGCGAAACCAGCCGCGGCTGGGCTGGGCCATCAGGCCCGTATCGGAGACGCATGGGCTATTTGGATTATGTTGTTCCCATCGCACTTAGGGACCACATCCCAGAAATAGTGTCGAGCACCCAGAAAGGTATCGAAACAGTGTCGAAAGAGTATCGCCTCCCAGGGCCTGACGCGCGAAAACCCTCCAAATGTCAGTACTTTCGTGGTGCCGTGGCGCCCAGTAGCGCGCCAAATCACGCGCGAAGCGGACATAATAGCGCTGCTGGACGCTGTTGGACGCTGTCAGACGCTATTGGACGCTATGTAGGCGCTATTGGAGGCTTAGTGGACGCTATTGGACGCAATCTCACTCACATGGCGCTGTTGGACGCGATTGGACGCTGTTTAGAGGGCGCGGGGAGCTCGCTATTGGGAGCTGTTCGCCGATACACATTCAATCCCGAACGAGCGGGCACTTCCGTAATTCGGTACATAAACTACAATCATGAAGGGGCCCTGGGACACACAAATAAATACATACAAATAAAAGGATTCCCCATATGTTCCTATTTTTTCTGGGTTTTTGTCTTCCCCCCACTTCCCATATTTTCCCATATTTTCCTGGGAATCGACGATTAATTGTGTCTGTGTGTTTCTTTCCGCCCTGAAATCAACCCGTCAAATGAGGATACGCGGAAAGGATCCAAGGGCCTTGGAGGTCCAATCTTGACGTTTTTCGAACGGGATTGATCAGCGAAAGTCGCTAAGGATGGGCGGAAGGAGCAAGGATGCAACGGTACCCTTGGAAAGTTCTTCATCCTTACTATGCGGTTCGACTGTATCCCCTAGGGGAAGAAACAACTGCATAAACATAAAACATTGGAGGTCCTCGCGGCTTTCTTGGATCTGCGCTGAGCCCCCTCCGTGGCACGCGGAAAGCGCCAGGGTCGGCGCCGGAGGCGCCGCCACAGGGTTTCAGCGCAGATCCAATGAATCCGCGCGGAGCTCCGAAAATTGATACTTATGCAGTTGGTTCTTCTTCGGCTACGGCAGGTTCGTGTCGAGCCGACTTCGGCGTTGGTTTCTGACACCGCATGGATCGTTCAATCTTGAAAGAACGGCCGTGACCGAAACGTCAGATCGCTCAGTCTCGACCGATTCCTGGTCTCCCGCGGCGTTCAACGCTGAACGACGCCAGCGGGGTCGCCGCCAATCAACATGACGCGAAGCTGCACAAGGCTTCCATGAGCCACCACCGAACAATTGGTCCCCAAACCCCTCTCAGGGCCCATCCAATGCAATGTTTCACTCCAACTCCGTCTCGGACAGCCTCGGGTCGCGGAAACGGCCCCGGGAAGCCGAAGGAGCCAAACAACCTGCACGAACCCAGAACCTCGAACCTCGACCCCCCTTCCTGCTCGCCGCAACCAGCGCTGGGCCGCCGAAGAGCCCAAGCCGCAGAGGTGCCCACTGAGGAAGCCGGATCGCCCAAAAGCCACAGTCGAGGCATTTCTCCTGAGATCCGTGGGCTCTCCCCCAAAGGGCCCTCCGGAAAAAGATCCCTCGGCTGCGGCCGTGGCTCTCCGATGTGCCCGGAAGCCGACCGCAGCGCTGCCCCCCGAGGAGGCCGGGCCCCACGTCCTCGGCGAGGCGCCGGCGAGCGCGGGCAGGTCGTGCGACCCGGGCCCGGGGCTCTTCTCGAAGCGGCCCCCGCGCGCGGGCTCGCTGCGGCGGGGCGTCATGCTGACGGCGGGCCCTTCGGGGGGCGCGCGGGGGGGGGGGGAAGCGAGGGGGGAGGGAGGGGGGCGAGGCGGGCCCTGGGAGGGGTCGAGCACCGAGGGGGGCCGAGGAGGTCGACGAGGAGCCGAGGACCGAGGAGGGGCCAGGGAGAGGTCGAGCGTCGACGAGGATCGAGGACCAAGGTGGACGGGGGGTCGAGGAGGGGCCGAGGAGGGGTCGAGGAGGGGGTCGAGGACGGCAGTTCGCCGCCAGGAGAAGCCCGCGCCGGGCACCCAGCTCCGTCAAACACTGGTGCGGGTCGGGAGCAAACGCGAGAAGAGGTGCGCGATCCTCATCCTTCTCTTCCTTCGGCCCTGCTCGTCGCTCTCGCCCTCCTCCACCTCCTCCTCTTCCTCCTCTTCCACTTCCTCCTCCTCCTCCTCCTGCTCATTCTCCTCGCCCGCAGCCCATCCTCTTGCACTCCGCCTCCTCGACACCACCTTCGTCCTGGCCATCGTCTTCCCGCTCCTCCTTCTCCTCCTCCTCCCTTTCCTCCTCCTCCTACTCCTCCTCCTCCTCCTTGTCCTCCTCCTCCTCCTCTTCCTCCCCCTCCTCCTCCTCCTCCCCCTCCTCCTCCTCCTCCTCCTCCTCCTCCTCCTCCTCCTCCTCCCCTGCTCATTCTCCTCCTCCTCCTCCCCTTTCACCCTCCTCCTCATCCTCCTTCCGCTCCTCGTATATGTCCCTTTGCAAAAACGTCTGCTGATGAGTCTTGGCTCCACACTGGCTGGAGAGGACCTCCACCCCCCCGCCGACGGGCGGTCCTCTGGAGCTCCAAGGGCCGGAGGCCTCCAGGACGGAGTAGTCCTGCAGGGGGCCACGCCGGGGCGAAGGCGACTACAGATCTGGTGCCGTGGAATTCTGCGGCAGCAAGCAAGAAAGCCAAGTAAACAAGCAAGCACATGCGGATTACGAAACGCACATGCGCACGCAGTCGCTATCACGCCGTGGCCGAAGAGATGGCGTCGTGCCGTAGCGCCACAACGGCCTGACCTCTCACAGCTGTTTCGCAAGCGTGCCTGTAAACATCCTGGGGCCACGTTGTTCCTGGGCGCACTCTTTTTCTGTTGGTGAGAGGGGGGACCGCGCAGCGTCGTCACATGGCGTACTGCGCATGTGACCAAGAGAATGAAGCTGCCTGCGGAGGAGCGCGTTGCTCAGCGGGCGTTGACATGTACCCTCCGAGAACTCGCCACCAACCTTCCCCTTGTCCGCTTGGCAGCCACTGACAACTCCGAATACGCAAGAAATTCTAGGCGATCCCTCCCCGCCACCCTCCCTTCGAAATTTCCAAGGAATCCTGGTTTCCCCGTCGGTCGGTCCGTCGGCGACTCAAGATACGCATTTGATCGCCAAGTAACACCGTGCCCACATTGAAACGGGCGGGCGCGTGAGGAGAAGATCGAAAGAAACACGAGCGGCACAGACACAGGAATGTTGATGATACGAGGCTATGATCCCATCAGCACCGAATCCTCGCCTTGAAAACCTCCGCAAGCTCTTCCTCATCGTACTCCCCACTCCCTGTCCTCATCCTCCTCTTCCACCTGTCCTTCAAGAAACCTTGGAAACGACAAATGGAAGCCAACGGGAGCATCAAGAATTCATAGCTTCGCAACGACGACGACGACGACGACGACGACGACGACGACGACGACGACGGCGGCGGCGGCGGCGGCATCGACGACGCTGACGACCGCGCCGCCGCCGCCAACGACGACAGCGCCGTTCTGGCGCGGGCGTCCCTGGGGCGGGGTCCGACGACGACGCCGACGACGCCCGCGACGCGGACTCCGACAAATCCGACACCGACGCCGACACCGCCGACGACGTCGACGACGGCGACGACGGCGACGACGACACAGCGGTCCGATGTCTTTCTGTGCTCACAACGAGGCCCTGGGAAGTCTCGGCCCTCTCCCCAGGGCCGGCTTCTCGCCCCGAGTCGCTTTTCACACTCCCCGTGCCCAGCGAGGGCCGACAGGGCAGAAGACGGTGAAAGACCTCCGTCTTCGCTTTCTCACTGCCGTGGGGATGCGGGAGCGCGCCGCTCTGGCGCGGGCGGCCGCGGGGTCCGACGACGACGCCGACGACGCCAGCGACGCCGGCGCCGACGCGACAACGCCGACGCCGACGCCGACGACTGCGCCGCCGACGCCGACGACGACGCCGACGCCGACAACTGCGCCGCCGACGCGGACCGACGACGACAAAGACAACGACAGCGACGACGGCGACGACGGCAAAAACGACGAGGACGCCAGCGACGCTGACGCCGACGCCGAGGGCGCGGACGCCGACGACGCCGACGCCGCCACCGACGACGACGACGACGACGACGACGACGACGACTACGATGACGACGACGACAACGACGACAACGACGACGGCGTCGAGGTCACTTGGGCGAATGGTCGCTCTTACGCGTAGCCGTACGACATCGACGACGCCGACAACGACGACGCCGACGACGACAACGCCGACGCCGACGACGGCGAGGGCGTCGACGGCGTCGATGACGACGCGCCGCTCTGGCGCGGGCGTCCGCAGGGTCTGACGACGACGCCGACGACGACGCCGACGACGACGCCGACGACGACGATGACGACGACGACGCGCCGCCCCGGCGCGGGCTGCCGCGGGGTCCGTCGGCCCGGGCACCGTCTTCGGGGCCACGTCGGCGAGGCGGGCGGCGGTGCCGAAGCTGAACTTCGGGGCGGGCCTGCGTCGGCGACGCCCAAGGCATGGCTTGCAAAAGGTGCGGTTTGCAAACAATCACCCCGGGGGAGCACGCTGGGGGGCGGGCGAGGAGCTCGATCGAGCTCTTCGCCGCGCCCCAGCGAGGCCCGACGAGGACAGCGTCGTGCCCCCGAGGCTCCACCGGCACCGATCGCAGGGGCGGCCTCGAAGGATCCCAGTGGAATCGACAGACAGACAGACAGACAGAGAGACAGACAGACAGACAGACAGACAGACAGACAGACAGACAGACAGACAGACAGACAGACAGTCCCGCAGAAGGCACCTACGCGGGTGCAGCGGGTTTTGGCGCCGGGGCGCCGATGTTGGCCTCTCAGACTCTGGAGTTGGGACTTTGAGCAGCCCGGGCCAGCAGAACAGAATGGGTCGCTTCAAAAGTTTCGCCGGTGCCGGCGCCGCGCAGTTGCACTGTGAAGAGAGAAGGGGGGGGGGGGCAGGTCCTTGCTGAGTCGGCAGCGCCAGCGGTCGCGGGCGCGGCGGGCGGCTCCGGCGGGTCGCGCCGAGCAGGTAGCGCCAAGAATGGGCGGGTGAGTGGCGCACAGGCGGCCTCAGGCACTGCGGACGGCGTGCGGCAAGTGCAGGAGCAGCAGGTGGACCGGGAAGTGGGCGATCGTATCTTGCATGTCTCCGTGGTCGTTCTTGCCCAGAGCGCTCCCAGCGGCCAGGGCTCTCCAGATTCCTCTGGGCTGTCGGGTAGTTCCTGGCAGGTGGCAAAGCAGCGCTGCATTTGCAACTCTTTGAGAAAGACAGCGAGTTCACACAGGGGGCTCTTCGGAATATTTTATTGCATTTCGCATGGGTTGGTTCAAGAGTCTCGCATGGTCTTCGGATTTCGCCCGACTTCGGATGAGTTCTAGAAGGTTCGCTGCTGTTGGTTATGCTTGTACGGCTAAATCCCTGGCCCTACAGTCCCTCTCCTACCCCTATTTGGACTTCAATCGTGGTCACCCACTGTGGCCCCCATCGTAACTGTGTAAAGCTGTCTAGGGCCTCCTGCCGAAAGGGTCGTTCTTTGTCCACCGACTGTCGGATAAGTGTTGGAAATGTGCCCTGACGTCTTGGGAAAAGAGTGGGGCCCAGACCTGTTGCCATGAACTCCGCCTTCTACATCTCTCTCTCTCTCGATATGCGTGTATATCTATATATGTATACACACACACACACACACCACCGTGCCTCTGGGCACGGAACGGGCGTGTCCTCACGTTCTTTCTCGAAGCCTCTAAGCCTCAGATCGTAGTCCTGAGGAGTCTGTAGGGGGCCCAGACCCGAAAGTCACAAATGCGGTGACAAATCAATAGGTGTTTGAAAGAGTTCGGCTTTCTCGACTTTTCGGCTTCCCGACGCTCCCAGACCCCCAAAATGCCCCCAAGGCGGCCCCAGAGGCCTCCAAGAAGGCCCCAAGACTGCGTAAGAGTGCCTACATACGGCCCAAGAGGCGCTCAAAACGGCCCGTGAGGGCCCCCAGACGGCCCCCAGAGGGGCTCAAGAGAGGGAACAAGAACCGAAACTCCGAGCCCTCTGCCCCAAGAGGCCCCCAGGAGGCCCTCAGAAGCGCCAGAGAAGCCCCAAGAGGCTTCCAAGAGGCCTCAAGAGGCCCCGCAAGGACCCTGAGAGGCCCAGAAGAGGCCCTAAGAGGCCCCAAAACGGCCGTAAGAGGCCAAACACTGTCTCCAAGAGGCCCCCGAGAGGCCTCCCACGAGATCCCAAGAACATCCAGTAGGCTTCATACCCACAACCCAGGCACGGTGGCGGGATGGGCCGAAGGTCATGCGATGTATGATGTATAAACCCTGATAAATGCGCTGCTGGATCCAGAATCGGTCCCACGGGGTCGTCTCCCATGGTCTCACATTGTCTCCCGATATCTCACATCTTGTCACGTTGTCTCCCACTGTCTATCCATATCCCTGTGCGTATCCTATCCCTATCTCTGTCCCTATCTCTATCCCTATCCCTACTGCCATTGTCACCCGTTGCCTCTTTTTTTGTCTCCCATGGCCTATCCCTGTCCCCATCCGTATCCATATCCCTATCACTACCGCTATCCCTGTCCCAGTGCCTCTGTCGCTATCCCTAACCACATCACTTTCATTCGTATCCATATCCCATACCCTTATCCCCATCCAACATCACGATCCCTGTCCCCATCCCCATCCTCACCGTTATCATCATCCATCTAAGTTATTCCTATATTCCTATATTCCTAGCCCTATATCACTATCCTTGCCCCCAACCCTTACCCCTATCCCGACCCTGTCGTGGCCCTCAATGGCCTCCCCCCATTTTGACCCCCCATGATGGTCCCCAAAATAGCAGGGCCTTCTGCCGCAATAGTGTCATTCACTTCACCAGGTTCCGGATGATTTCTGGAAATTTGGACATTTTGGGAAGTACTTGGGGCCCCTTGCCCAGGGGGGATGGGGGCTGGCCCGGGTCACGACCGTTACCTCAGGGGAGGGGAGCGCCCCCCTCCTCTACGTAAGATCGGTACCGCTACCTGGCGTTACCTGGGAGGGTGGGGGGCAAGTTTACGACCGGTACGCGAAGAGGATTAATTTTCCTGGCGAGACACCCAAGCACATGCAGCTGTGAGCACCGCAGTTCTGAGTATCGTCTTCGGTGGAGCTCCCTATAAGTCTACTGGGGCCTTCGGCGAAGCTCCCTAGAGGGCCACGACACATGTGAGAAGTGTGCCAAATTGGGCGCATCGCGGCCACGCATTAGTAACGATGATAATGAGACTGATGATGATATTGATAATGATGATAATGATTATGATGATGCTGATGATGATGCTGCTGCTGATGATGATGATGCGGATGATGATGATGATGATGATGATGATGATGATGATGATGATGATGATGGTGGTGATAATGATGCTAATGATGATGATGATGATGATGATGATGATGATGATGATGATGGTGGTGGTGGTGATGATGATGGCAGCGATGCTGGTGATGACGATTACGACGACAACGATGACGATGGTGATGATAATGGTGATGACATTGATGATGACGATGATGATTAATGCGGTGACGATGTTGAAATTGATGCTGACGATGATGATGATACTGGATAATGGTGATGGTGGTGGTGATGATGATGACGACAATGATGACGATGACGGTGCGGATGATGAAGAGAATAATGATGAAGTTGAGGATGATGATGAGGAGCAGGATTATGAAGATGGTGATGGTGATGATGCTGCTGATGCTGCTGATGATGCTGATGACGCTGATGATGATGATGATGCTGATGACGATGACGATGACGATGACGATGACGATGACGATGACGATGATGATGATGATGATGATGATGATGATGATGATGATGATGATGATGAGGAGGAGGACTGCGGAGGGCAGAAGCGGGAGGAGGGATGGGGGAGTGAGAGGAGAGGAGAGGAGAGGACGACCGCGAGGCGACGCGGACCCAACACCACAAGATAGTTGGGGAAAAAACACCCCCAGAGGAGGAGGATGAGAAGGAGCATAAGAAAGGGGAAGGGAAGCAAACCGTGGCCCTGGGCCGGAGGAGGTGGAGGAGGAGCCAGAGCGCGCTTTGATGCACGTCCTGGCCAATTTACGCGCATGGCAAATCGCCCCCCCCTCCACTCCGCCCCCGTTTCGAATGGCGCAAGGCGGAACAGGCCTGCCAGTGAGTCCCGGCGTGCGTGAAGTCCAGACTCAGACTTCCCTTCGGGCCTCGCCACGCTCCCTCAAACCCCCGACGTCGTGATGTTTTCACGACGCGACCCCCAGAGGTCTGGACCACTCCCTGGGACCGGTTACTCATCCTGGAAATATAGGAAGACCTCGCGTCGCGTTTTTTCCCACAGTGCAAGTAGACTCGTCAGAGTCGAAAGTTCGGCGGCCAGGCTGGGGAAGTTCAAGTCGCCTTGCCCGGAGACACAGAAGACTTCTCAGAGGGCTGGAAGGCTTCTGAAAAGTCCCGCCGCCTTCTGAGAAGGCCTTCACCTTCTCACTTCCCCCCCTCGCTCGCCGCCGAGGGAGGCTCTTTTTGGGGGCCAGCGCGATTCCTTTCCTGAGGGACAATAGGCAGACACAGATAGCGAATCGTCGACATCCAGGAAAACATGGGTGAGTGAGGACAACACAGTCTAAACAAATGGAAACATCGATTTGGGAATTTGGGAAGGATCTGTCAGGGATCTTCTGACCCGGGTCAATCCAGACCCAGGTCAATCAAGTCTTGCAGAATCCTGCAGATCCTGCAAGATCCTGCACTTACACCCGGGTCAATGCGAAGGATGCTGCAAGATCCTGCAGGATCCTGCGCCCAAGCTCTGGTCAATGCGACCCTGTCCCGGCAGGATCCTGCAAGTTCTGGCGCTCTGGCTGACCCCCGCTTGCAGCGTCCCCCGTCCCAAGGCTCCCGACTCTGTCTCGCACAGGAACGCTCCCTGGGGCTGTCGGGAGGAGGGCCGCGGCCGGCGAGGCGCCTGAAGCGGGCGAGCCGGTCCTCCACCAAGCTGTCGACGCAGTGCGCGCCGGGGCCTGCGGGGCCCAGCACGCAGAGGGAGAGGAAAGCGAGGAGGGAGAAGAAGCAAGGGGAGGGCCAGGAAGGAGGAGGAGGAGGAGGAGGAGGAGGAAAAGGGCGACGACGGCGAGCAGGACGAGCAGGAGCAAGAGGAGGGCGAGGGGGGAGGACGCGAAGGTGACGAGCTGAACAACGACGACGACGGGGAGAACGACGACGACGAGGACGACGAACAAGACGACAGGGAAGAGGAGGAGGCCGCGGACAACCATGGGACTACCTTGCGAATTACAGGAGTATTCCCTAAAGCATCCTGTCAAGTGTTAACTAGTACACTCACATTCGAACCTTGCTGCGGGCATATGCCATCGCCACGCCGTACCCCAGTGGGCAGGCGCCACATTTCAAAGACCATGTGTTTAGACAACAGCAAACTCGCAAGGCCTTCCACTGAGGCCCGGAGAGAGTAAATAACTTGAGCGAAGCAAGCTTAAAAAAAACAGTAGCAGGCGGGCCTTCCAAACCTCAACCATGTTACTGCGCAGATCCCCACGCAACGCCGAGGTCCAGACCTCTGACGTCGTGGAAGAGATTGCTTCGAGCGCGATGTCCATCCGAGAGCGCGAGGTGGTACAACCAGGGAGCACGGGGACCCCAGGAGCCCGGCGGCCACGATACGCAGGGCGTGCGAGGCGGAACGAGAGCTCTTCTCTGTAAATCTCACAGCCCCAGCCTGTCGGGTGGGGAATCACGTCCCATGTCTGGGGCGGAGTAGGAGGAGGGCTCCCCCGCGCAGTCGCTACCGTCTTTTTACCACTTGGCCACACCACCTTGCAATTCAAGATGTTGGCCACACCGCCCAATCCGGCGTCAATGCCATACCGCTCACGGGTGCCACAGAAGCATCGCGAACCGAAAAGCCGCTAATTAGGCAAACCGGGAGCTTCGCAAAAGCCGACCTGCCGCAGACAAGTTTACGCAATGACATAACGCCTCCTTGCTTGGCAACAGAGCTTGTCTTTTGATTGCCCATCCTGACGCCACGATCCCGGTCGATCAGGGTCTGCCCCGCGATGACTATTATCCCTCCCCCCGCGGCGCGCCGCGCCGAGAGGCACCCGCCAGGGCAAGCAGCGCGGCTCGGCCCGCCCGCCGGAAGGCCGCGGCGGACTCCTCCGTGACAACGCCAGCGGGTCGTGCACCCTCGAGCTGCGGAAGAGTTCTCCGTCGGCGTCGAGGCGGAGGCGGTCCGCCCCAGCGTGTGGCCACTCGGGGCAACCGAGTGGCCAATAGGCCGGCGCCCTCGAGCTGCGGGCGATGGCTGGCCCGAGACAGCGGGGCAGACGGAGGCTGGCATGGGGCCATCTGGTGCGGGAAAATTGACCCAGAGTCGCGGGCTCCCGCGGGAATCTCGCTGCGTGAGCACTTTCGCCTGGAGGGTAGTGCAGGGCGAGCGTGGAGGCGCGCGTGGTGAAGGCGTGGACCGGACGCCGAATGCATTCTGCTTGCGCTGCTTGCATGTTGTTTTCACCCTGCCCACACATCGTCTGATGCAAGGTGCAAGGCGTGCTTGACTTGACTTGGCGGATCCTTCAATACAGCAGTGACGTACGATTACAACTCCTGCTGCAGGAGATCAGAGAATCCGCCGACCCAGTCGGCGTGAGGAGTGCAAGGCCCTTCGACGCGAGGCCAGCCCAATCAATATGGAGGACGCCAGCCTCCGTTGAATCGTCGCCGTCGTAAGGGAGATCAAACAAACTAGAAGAATCGAACAAGGTCGTACTTACGGAAACTCCTTCATTTGTTCCCTTCCCCGCGGGAGGGGGAGGTCTCAGGGGGGGGGGTCGTGGGAGGCGGTCCCAGACGATGGCCCCGGGCGGGCTGAGGATCCGTCCCATAGGGGAATCCCGCGGGAGCGGAAACCAAGACCCCCCCCCGCTGAGCCGAGCCCTGGCCCCGGGCCCGGCTCTGGCCCTGGGCCCGGCCTCAGCCCTAGCCCTCGGTCCCGGCTCCCGGCTCCCGGCCCCAGGCCCAGACTGGCCGTTCCCAGCCTCGCCCCAGCGGGGGGGTCCCCGGGGATCCCTCCCCCACTGGGGGCTTTCCCCTTCATTTTCGCCTCCCAGACGCCTTTTTCCGAGGAGGGAGCGGCGGCTCTCCTCCTCCTCCTTCTCCTCCTCCTCCTCCTCCACCTCCTCCTCCTCCTCTTCCATTCCTTTCCCTTGTAAAACGGGCCGGGCGTTTCGCCTGAGACTTACCACTGCTAAGCCTGAAGCTTATAAATTGGCAAAAGCTTCGCAAATGGAGGGAGGGTGGTTTTCAAAATGTGGCTCTCGCCTGAGACCCGCGCACACTCGTTTTCAAATGTTGCAAGAGTTCCACAGATTGAAAGCGGGTCGTTGTCGAAATTTGGGTCTCGCCTCAGCGCCGCGCACATTCGCTTCAAAATTCGCAAAAGCTTTACATATTGAGGGCGGTTCGTTTTCAAAATGTGGCTCTCGCCTTAGCGCCGCGCACATTCGTCTTCAAAATTGGAAACACGGATTGAGGGCGGCTCAATTACTTTGATTCGCGGTTTTGAACTCCCAGGCATGGTGTTCTGGCACGGTTCAGGACCGCCAAAACGCAACAGTCAATATGACGCGTGGTGTTGAAGCCCTAAGAATGATGTTTTGGCACGCTTCAGGATGTTCACACAGCTCCCTCCCAACAGGGCACGTCCCTCAGTGCAAATTAATCCTTGTGTGGGGCCTATGAGGAAATAGCTCGGAGGGAGTGTGTATCCCAACATCGTTGATGTGTCTTGGGTTTACACTGCTCCTCCTCCTCCTCCTCATCTTTCTCCTCCTCCTCCTCCTCCTTGTCCTCCTCCTCCTGCTCCTGCTCCGCCTCCTCCTCCTTCTTCTCCTTCTCTTTCTCCCCCTCCTCATCCTCCTCCTCCCTCCCTCTCCTCCTCATCCGCCTCCTCATCCCCCTCCTCCCTCCACCGCCCGCCCGATGTCCCAAGCCTGCGGCAGGGTGGGTCATCAGCTCGTCATTGTCGTCGTCGTCGTCGTAGTCGTCGTCGTCGACCTTTTGGGTTGGCGGCACCAGCACCAGGTGTTAAGGCCTTCGCAATACTGTGTCTCATGATCCTTTCTGGTAAGGGTCGTTACCCCGAGGGTGTGGGGCCCCCAGGTAACGGCACCGCTTTGGCGCGGCGGGGGTGCGCTGCGATCGCAATAATCAGTGCGCGCGCGAGCACCAGCATGTGTGGGAGTCCCACGACGAACGATCTTTCCGGTTATCCGAGGGCGAGTATGGCCCAGGTGGCGACAGTTACGCGCAAGAGCATACACAAACGATCTCGAGGCACGTCACTCGCCGACGCTGAGCTCTATGTACGGTGCCCCGCTGGCAGGCCAGTGTCTTCTTTGGTGCGCTTTACTGTGCTGAACGGTCGCAGCCTTCCGCTAGCGCGGATCGCTCAATGTCGGCCGATTCCAGGCTACCAGCGACATCAACCAACAAGCCGGTGCTTTCTTTGGAGCGCTTGACTGTACTGAACGATCGCAGCTTTCCGCCAGCGCGGGTCGCTCAGCGTCGGCCGATTCCAGGCTACCAGCGGCGTCAACCTGGACCGTCTGCGAGACGGGTCGCCGCCGCGTCGGCAAGGCGCAGAATTACCGTAGAGGCAGGTGGAGATAGAGAGAGAGAGAGAAGCACAAAAACGAGAGAGAGAGAGAGAAAGAAAGAAAGAGCCAGGAAACAATGAAGGGGCCCAGGAAGGCACAAATGAACACGCACATCTTCACAGATCCCCTATGTCTTCCTATATTCCCTACCTAGGCTCTGCCTAGAAGGGTTCTTACTCGGTAAACTTAAAGGGCCGGCCGGGCAGTGGGGCTCGCCCCGGGCGGTTCCCCCGGCATCCGCCCCGCGGTTCCCCCAGTCCCCTGGGAGCTTTAGCTTTAGCTTTAGCTTTAGCTTTAGCTTTAGCTTTAGCTTAGCTTTAGCTTAGCTTTAGCTTAGCTTTAGCTTAGCTTTAGCTTTGGCTTAGCTTTGGCTTAGCTTTAGCTTAGCTTTTGCTTAGCGTTAGCTTAGCTTTAGTGTAGCTGTAGCTTAGATTTAGCTCAGATTTAGCTTAGCTTTAGCTTAGCTGTAGCTTAGCTTTAGATTAGCTTCAGCTTAGCTTCAGCTTGAAAGTTGGCTTAACGTTAGTTTAGCGTTAGCGTAGCGTTAGCTTAGCTTTAGCTTAGATTGAGCTTAGCTTCAGCTTAGCTTCAGCTTAGCTTTAGCTTAGCTTCAGCTTAGCTTTAGCTTAGCTTCAGCTTAGCTTTAGCTTAGCTTAGCTTCAGCTGAGCTTTAGCTTAGCTTCAGCTTAGCCTTAGCTTAGCTTTACTGTTACTACTAATGCTGCTTTCCTAGGGGCTCCAACTCCTAGGTAGGGTCGCACTGGGATAATTTTTAGAATGCCCATTTCTCCTCCATCGCCTATGTTCCCCTAGGTTTCGACGATTGTATGTGTGTGTGTCTGTCTATTTTCCCTCTGGAAAGAAATCGCGTTGGACCCCAAGACGAGCCTCCCTTGGCGGCGAGCGAGGGGGGAAGTAAGGAGGAGAAGGGTATCTCAAAGGAGGCGGGGTTTCTCAGAAGCCCTCAGGCCGTCTGAAAAAGTTTTCTGCATCTTCGGGGGGGGCTTAGAAAACTTGTCAGAAGGCTGGGGGACCCCCGATCCTTCTGAAAAAGGACGCCCCTTCTCACTTCCCTCCCGGGCTCGCCGCTGGGTCCGGGTACGGTCCGAACGGGAGGGGGAGGAGGGTCGAGAACAAAAGTAGGCGCAGGAACACGGGGCATGACTGGGAACCGAGCAGCCCAAGCAGTCGCTACGCATGCTTGCAGTACCACGCTGTCCCTTCATGCAGTAAGGGCATTGGATGAGGAACCATTGGATAAAGAATGCAGGGTCTGGAAGCCGGTGGAATTTCAATCGTGGACTGGCCACTGATAGCACCACCGCCCTCATCAAACAAGGAATCCTCCAGGGTCTGAAGCCTCCTGGGCACTTTCCTTAAAGAAAACGCCCACCGTATTCATTCTCGCAGCATCACGCTGTTTTTTGATAGTCGTCCACTGGCCGTCAGCCGTCAATCCGAATATATTATACGTATCACCCCACAGTTGCGGATAAGAGTGAGGGGGCGGCGGGGACGTCCGCAGTCTGCGAAGCTCTGAACAAGCCCGCCACAGGCGCCTTACTTTTACAAAGCATCCAACGAACTCGCCGCCGGCGCCGCTCTTTTCGTTAAAGCAATGTGGGTGGGTCGCGGGTGGGTCGCGAATGGGTCGCGAGTGGGTCGTGGGCCGGGTCTCGGCCACCGTCGTCGCCAACGTCATCTAAGATCGATACGGGAAGACTGCGCGATCCAGGGTCGAGGATCGAGGTTTGTAAGCTATGTTTGGCCTTCTTGGGCCTCGAAGGGTCGCTTTCGCCGCCCCACTTCCCGCGTGGCCCACTTACCCCGTGGCGACCCGCGTTGGCCAGGGGCACGTCTGGCAACACCCGACCTCGTGGGCCCCCCTCCTGGGAAGCTCAAAAGATACTACTACCGCTGCTCCCCAGACCTCTCCTGGGATGCGTTTGTACCAGACTTTCGCAGCGGATCCAGCGGGGGCGACGAGGGCCTCCCAAAAGGCCCCCCAAAAGCGAAAACGAGCCCAGGGTAGCGGCATGCGCACCGCTTCCTCCCCTGACACCGTCCATGCAAGTAAGCTTGCTGGGGCCTTCCAGTCTCAAGGCTTCGGAGAACACACAGCGCACGTGCTCCCCTGGCCTTCCAGGGTAGGAGGTATGAGTTACCTTTCCCTCCACCGCCCCGACGGCCCACGGCTCGAGCCCGCAGTCGCTCGTGCCGAGACCGCCCCGCCCGCGCGACGAGCCCCCCCCCCTCGGGCGTGCGGACGAGAGGGGGGAGGCTGGCCACGAGGATCGAGCATCCAGGATCCAGGACCGAGGGTCGAAGCTCGAGGATCGAGGCTCCTTTGGCCTCCTCCCCCCCCCCAGCGGGGGTGGGCCTGGGCCGCCTGCGAGCCCGCCGCCGGCGCCGCCCGGGCCCGCCTCGGGGGAGGGGGGGGGCGCTGCGCGGCCAGGGAGCGGCCCCCCCCGCGCGAGCCAGGGGAGCGGCCGCGCTCCCTGGCCTGCGCGGCCGCGGGCCGCGGCTCTCGCGTGAGCGAGAGCGGGGGAGGCAACGGCTGCTGAGCACCTCTGGCACATCGCTGGGTATCAACCACACACACACACACGCTGAGACATCATCTGGCCCATCGAAAACAGCATCAGGTGCACACCCCTCATTCCAGGCAGCCCGGCCCAGCCCAGCCCAGATCAGCCCAGCACAGCTCACCCCAAAGCTCGGCCCACACATCGGCCCAGCCCGGCCCAGCCCTGCCGTCCTGTGCCCCCGCCGCGCCCGGAGCAGCCCGGCCCACCCCCACGCGCAGGCCGCCTCGGCGCAGCGGGGGGCGCCAGGTCGGCGCCGCCCGCCCTCGGCGGGCTCGGGCCGGGCGGGGGCCCCGGGCCGCCCTGGCCTTCCTGCCCTCTTTTCGATGTGGCCTGCGTGGGTTTCTCCCCGAGTGGCGTCGGGCTTCCAGGGGTGTCGATGGACTCTGCCGCACCTTCTGCGGAGGTCGGAAGGCATGGAAGGTGGAGGTGGAGGGTCCGCCGTCGACCGCTTTCCTCGATGCGTTGGCGCCTCCAGAGCTATTGAGGCCCGCGGGGGCTACCTGGGGGAGCTCTCTGTGCGCAGCCCGAAGCCGTACCGTCTCGGTCGTGGTCATCGCGTTTCTGGGGAAGCGAATGATCACCGATACCGATACGGTGAGGGCATGTGATAAGGAACCCTTCAATAAGGAATCCAGGGTCTGGAAGCCGGTGAAACTCCGATCGTGAATCGGCCATGGATCACACTGCCGCCCTCATCAGACAAGGAATCCCCCAGGGTCTGAAGCCTCCCATGGGCCCATTCCTTAACGAACGCCCCCACCGTACTCCTGGACCTCTCCTGGGGTGCGCTCTTAACTACCTACCACACCACCCAAACTGAACCCGAGGTCCCAAAGATCGGGTTGGGGGGCGTGCGGGTTCCATCTGCGGTCTGTCCATGCTCCCGGGACGCCTCTTCACTGGGAATGGAGGGCAACGTGTTGGGGCCTTCGGGTTGGGCTGGGGTGGTTCGGTGGGCAGCGAGTTCTAAACAGAATTTCGAAGCGAATCCAGCGGTGGCGACGGGGGCCTGCCAGGATGCTCAAGAAGGAAAAGCCGATCGGGCGGGGGGTAATGAGGTGTGGCCAAAATGGGGGGGGGAAGAGAAAGCCCCTAAAGGGGCTTTTAGAACCTCTTTTGGAGCCAGCTGGTGCCCAAAAGGGGCACTAAAGGCCTTCCACTTCACCCCCCCGTTGGGCCACCCACCATTACCCCCCGCCCGAGCCGAGGCAGGGGCATCGGTAATTATCGGAACCTTCTTCCTCGAGACCGCTCCGCCGAGAAGGGTCGCTTGTGCACGCCGCCGGCGCCTTGGAGCGGATGCCGAAGCTGCACTTGGGCCCGGGCCGCGAGGCCTGGCCTGCGGGCGCGCGCCGCAGCAGGCCCCGGCCGCCGCCGCCGAGGATCGAGCAGCGAGGAGGGTTCCGAAGACGCTCCTGGGAGCCCGTCGTCCAGGAGGGGCTCGCCCGCAAAAAACCTTTCAAGAAACCAGGCCCTGAGACCCCAGGGCGCCCGCGGAGTTCTGGGGTGGAACAGTACGTCGCGGCTTCCACAGCAGAACCATCGAAGCCCAAGAAACCCAGGGCACCCTGGAGGCAAGCAGGGTGCTTCTTGGCACATGAGCTTCCGCTGTGAGCACCTGGGTGGCCGCAGTGGCCTGTCCCAGCCGCAGCCGGTGGCCTTCAGCGGCCTTCCGCCGCGAGCCTCGAGCGTCCACCGGTGGAGCCTCCAGTGGCCTCCCCGTGGCCGCTGGTGGCCTCCGGTGGCCTGCAGTGGGCCCCCAATGTGGCCTCCAGTGGCGCCAGCAAACGACTGCGGAAAACCGGAGACGCAGGAGAGCCAGGCTCCCAGGATCGTCTTCTGAAGGGGGGGTCGGGGAGGCCGAGGAGGGGAGGAAAGCGAGAATCGAGATGCATTGGAGAGCGCTACCTGGGAGGTCTTCGTAAGAACGATGAAGGGCGATCAAGCCAAATTGAGGAGCCACGATGCCAAATTATGCCAAATCGGGCCTGGCATTAAAACGGGTTAAGCAAAATTAATCTGGATGTGGCTGGATTAAGTCGGATTGCGCAGATAAGCTGGATAGCGCCAGATCTCGACCAGGAATATACCAGCGCCGATTCTGAATTGAACCTCCTATATAGGATCAGATATAGAGAGCTGTGATCGAAATTCGAGAGTCCAGGTTCGAGGATAGCGGGTCGACGTCCGACGAAAACGATGGCGACGGCGACGGCGACGACGACGGTGGCGACGACGTCGATGACCACGATCGCGGCGGCGACGAGGGCGACCCCCCAAGGGACGCCCAGGTGCGCATGGAGGCTGCAGCGCAAGACTACAATAGTGGCCCGACCACAGGGCCCAACCCTGAGACCCCAGGACGCCCATTGAGCTTTGGTGTTTGAACATCACGCTGTCCATCGGAAAACCATCGAAACCTGGAGGCAAGCAGGGCGTTTCTTGGCATGGGCCTCCACTGTATTCACGATTATGTTGAGGCATGTGGCCTTTTCCCTACCCGCTCCTCATCCTGGCAACCTTCTCTTCATTCGCACCGAAATAAAGTTTCTCCTTCGGACATTATTTTCTCCTTATTCTGTCCGGAGTATACCCCGCCCCCACCGCTGAGCTGGCCGATGCCCACCGAATCCTGGACCTTCCACTCGACCAAGCCAAAAAAAAAAAACGCCACGTCTGTTACCACCCGCCCGAGTGGCGAGCGCGCTGCCTCCCTCCGCCTCCCCCGCGCGCGCGGGACGGCGGCGGCGGCGCCAAGCGGCCCCCGCCAAGGAGCAGCTCGCGGCGGAGTGGCGGCACGAGCTGGCGGCGCTGCGGGACTGGTCGAGTGGAAGGCCCACTCGGGCGGGTGGACCTTCCACTCGACCAGTCCAAAAAAACCGGCTTGCCTTCCACGTGGGCATTCGGCTCCTCATGTTGCAAGCTGCACGGCGTGAGCGGGACGGGGCGCACATCCCGCGCGGCAGGCGGGCGTGTCTCTGTCGCCCCGGCACCGCCTTCACTCCCCGAACAGCGCTTGCACTTGCAGCCGACCCGTAGCCCTATAGGAACCCTAAATAAGGAGCGATGCCCCTTTTTTTCCATAAGTTAAACTTCGATTCCCATCGAAAACCTAAGGAAAACCTGATGCAAGCTGTGAAACAATCAAGGAACACCGAGCCCCTCCCCAACGAAAAGTGTTCCTTCTTCAGCGCCCCGACTGTACAGCCGACCCGTATCATCATAAGGATGCGCGAGAAGGATGCAAGGGCCCTGGACGCCCACTTCGAGGCTTTTCGAACGGGGCGCGGCCAACGAATGTGGCCAAGGACGTGCCGAGGAGGCGACTATGCAAGGGTACCCTTGGGAAAGGTGCCCATCCTTACTATTCGGGTTGACTGTCGGGGTTTTCACTTCTCTTCTGAGGAATTGGGCCGTGTCTTCGGTCTGGCAGCTATGTGGCCGCTGTCGCCGTCCCGTCGGCTTTTCGCCGCCCGTCGTCTGGGCTGTGTCCTCAATCTGGCGGCTATGTGGCCACCGTGGCCACTCCGCCGCCGCCTCGCCGCCGCCCCCCTTCCCGTCGCCGCCCGAATTTCGCAACATGGACCCTCCGGTTCTAAAAGATTATTAGGAGCGACCCTTCCTCCCAAACTTCACGGGCCACCTTGTGCTCTTCTCTGCCGCTCATAATTATGCATACCTATCTTCCCAAAAATGATGTCGTACCATCCCTGCGCATCGTGATTCGCGTTTCCCCATCTTCTGCAACCAACAACTAACATGCCCGCGCGATCAATCATCAAAAATCACCAACATCCACGAACCCGCTGGAAAGCACGAAGAGCCGACAATACATACAAACAAACAAAAACGAAAAACACACGCGCGCGTCCTCGCGCACGCATTCCGAAATCGGGTGTGCCGAAACATGCATGTAACATTATTTTGCAAAACGATGTTTGGTACCTTGTGTGCGTCTATGCTTATACACGTGTGTAGATACATATATATATATATATATATATATATATATATATATGCTCGCCCCCCCCCCTGTGATCATACATGTGGCCTTCTTTCTCCTCATCCTAATCATCCTTCTCCCCACCCTCGTCCTCCTCCTCCTCGTCCTCCTCTCTCATCCCTGTCCTCCTCCTCCTCCTCCTCCTCCTTTCCTCCTCTTCCTCCTCCTCCTTTTCCTCCTCCTCCTCCTCTTCCTCCTCCTTCTCTTCCTCCTCCTCAAGATCATACATCTCGTTTTGAATATTTTTCGTCCTTCTCTCTCCGCCTCCTCCTCTGCATCACAAAGGGATCCGATTGGAAAGCCTCACAAAAGGAATCCTTTGGAAAACACAACAGAGGGATTCTATTGGAAAGCCTCACACAAGGAATCCTTTGGAAAGCATACAAAGGGATTCTATTGGAAAGCCTCACAAAAGGAACCCTTTGGAAAGCACACAAAGGGATTCTATTGGAAAGCATCACAAAAGGAATCCTTTGGAAAGCATCACGAAGGAATCCGATTGGAAAGCTTCACAAAAGGAATCCTTTGGAAAGCACCACAAAGGAATCCTATTGGAAAGCCTCACAAAAGGAATCCTTTGGAAAGCACCACAAAGGGATTCTATTGGAAAGCCGCACAAAGGAGGCAACCCACGGAGATCTGTCAAGCTTCCAGCTGCTCCAGCTACCCCCAGAGGTACCCTTAGCGAAAACATTGTGTTTTCCAGCTGTTCCAGCTTTTCCAGCTACTCCCAGAGATTACCCTGGTGAAAACCATTGTGTTTTCCAGCTTTTCCAGCTTTTCCCAGAGACTACTCTGGTGAAAAACCTGGTGTTTTCCAGCTTTTCCAGCTTTTTCCAGCTTGTCCCAGAGACTACCCTGGTGAAAAACCATGTGTTTTCCAGCTTTTCCAGCTGTTCCAGCTTTTCCCAGAGACTACCCTGGTGAAAAACAATGTGTTTTCCAGCTTTTCCAACTTTTCCGATTTTTCTCAGGGACTAATCGGGTGAACAACCTTGTGTTTTCCAGCTTTTCCAGCTTTTCCCAGAGACTACCCTGGTGAAAAACCTTGTGTTTTCCATCTTTTCCAACTTTTTCCAGCGTTTCCCAGAGACTACCCTGGTGAAAAACCATGTGTTTTCCAGCGTTTCCAGCTTTTCCCAGAAACTACCTTGGTGACGAATTGGCGGAAGAGCTGGAAAAGCTGGAAAAGATGGAAAACACAATGTTTTTCACCAGGGTAGTCTCTGGGAAAAGCTGGAAAAGCTGGAAAAGCTGGAAAACACAGCATTTTCACCAGGGCAATCTTTGGAAAAAGCTGGAAAAGCTGGAAAGCACAAGGTTTTTCACCAGGGTAGTCTCTGGGAAAAGCTGGAACAGCTGGAAACGCTGGAAAACATATCGTTTTTTTCACCAGGGTAGTCTCTGGGCAAAGCTGGTAAAGCTGGAAAACATATTGTTTTTCACCAGGGTAGTCTCTGGGAAAAGCTGGAAAAGCT